GCCATATGTATCAATCAATAAACACAAAGTAAGGTTAGTAGCTAAAGAATTTCTATATAAATCTACATTATACTACTTTGAGGTGTTTGCGCCTATAGCTAGGCATGAAACAATAGCTGCTAATAGAAATTGGCCTCTAGTGCACTTAGATGTGAAATTTGAATTTCTGAATGGTCCTTTACAAGAGGAAGTTTATGTATCATGACCGCTTGGAGTTTTGAAAAAGAATCAAGAAAGGATGGTGTACAAGTTGCATAAAGCCTTGCATGGACTGAAATAAGCTCCTAGAGCTTGGAATCTGAAAATTGATTCATTTTTCAAGTTTCAAGGATTTAAAAAATGTGCTTATGTTCAACATACATCTAATAGCAATATGATTCTAGTGTGTCTCTATGTTGATGACATGTTGCTAACAGGGAGTTGTTCATATGAGATAGTAAAGTTCAATAAGGTGTTGATGAATGAGTTTGAGATGAATGATCTAGGAAGTATGATATATTTTTTTAGGGATGGAGATTATGTACTCTGATAAGGATATAATTTTGCATCAGTTGAAGTATGAGCTTGAGTTTCTGAAGAGATTTGAGCTAATAAATTACAAGTCTACAATCACACTAGCTGAAACAAATCACAAGCTAGATTCAAATGTTGAGGGTGATTATGTATATGCTACAACTTTTAAACAGATGAGAGGCTCATTGATATATCCCTGTAACACCAGACTTGACATCTGCTATGCAGTTGAAACGGTGACTAGGTGTATCAACAAACCAAAGTGGTTACATTACCAAACTACTCTTAGGATACTTAGGTATATTAAGGGGACTCTGAGGTATTGATTTTGTTCCCTTCTGATGTTAAATCTGATACAGAGCTAATATGTTATTCAGACTTCGATTGGTGCGGAGACAGAGTTGACAGAAGAAGTACTTCTGGATATTTCTTCAAGTATTTGGGAGGTTCCATTTCTTGGGGCTACAAGAAGCAACTCGTGGTTTCATTATCAACATGTGAAACTGAATATATTGCAGGTACTTTGTCTTTGTGTCAAGTTATTTGGATTATGAACTTATTGCAGGATCTAAAGATAAAAGTAAGCAAGCTTGTGAGGTTGATGATTGACAATAAATCAAATATAAGCTTGACCAAGAATCCAGTGTTGTATGGAAGGAGCAAGCACATTAACACAAAGTTCTATTTTCTGTGCAATCAGGTTCAGAATTAAATGCTTGAAGTTGTTCATTGTAGCTCTCAGAAACAACTTGTAGATGTGTTGACTAAAGTTATCAAGACTGAACACTTTATCTAATTGAAGGATGGAATTGATGTTGTTGACTTTAGTTTTGAATGTGGGTTAAGGAATAGTGTTGAAGTGTAATTCAAATTCACATTTAAACTAGCATTTCATTTTAAGTTACATTTAGATTTAATTTAAGTTTTATTTAATTATTTTTGTGGTATAAATATTGAACTCAAGTTTTAATTTGTAACTAATTTCATTTTGAAATTATTTTTAGTTAAAAAAAGAAAGTCAGTTAGAATTTCCTTTCTCTCTTCCATATCATCATCTTCTTCAATAATGTTATATACAATGTAAGATATAAAAGTTTATTGAGTTTTTTTAATGTTTTTTTAGTTTATGCAAACTAACAACTTTTAACTATAAATTTTTTAAATAATTGTTAAAAAATTACTTGTTAATTTAGACTAATATGTAGGTTCATATTAAAACATCTTATAGAGATTTAACCCCGGTTCATTTCTTAATTGAAAAAATATTAATATTTTAGAAAAAATAAGTATTTAGTAATTAGTTTATATATATATACTACAAGAAAATGCTGTATTTCCCTAGTGAATTAGTGACGTGGTAAACACGTGGGTAAAAAATTGTGTTGCCAAGTGATAACCACGTCACTAACATTTTTTATTAATAAACTTTGCTATGCCAAACTCTGGAACGAAAATTTGAAATTTTAAGGGAGAGGGAAATTTGAATTTTCCACAAATTCTGTTGTAGCGTGTTAACCACTTGGGAAGTTAAAATTCAAAAAGGTCACAAAATACCCACATAATTTTTACTTCGTAACCCATTTACATCAATAATTATCTTCCCGTTGCGTTGGCATTTAGTGGACCAACGGTAATAATTTAATATTGGGGGATGTTCCGTCTTTAAATTCACGTCGCAAGTTTCTGATGTAAATGCCACGTCGCAAGCTTTATGAGATAAGTTGGCAATTAATGAAAATGAAGTTGCGACCTTCATTTCACGTCGCTAATTTCTGAAGGGTTTGCCACGTCGCAAACTACCCACCTGGTTTGCACGTCGCAACTTTCTGATGTTAATGCCACGCCGCAACCTCCCTTATATAAACCAAATCTCAGAATTTCTTCAAGTCCTCGTCTCTTGCAAAACTCCCACATCTCCTTCTTCTTCCCCCTTTGTTTTTCTCTTCAGCTGCTGTGCTGGTGCTGTTACCTCAACAAAGTTTCATTTGCAAAAAATTTAAGGTGATATATTAGTTGGTTTTGTGATTGTTTCATGTTATAGTTTATTTTATATTTTTTTATTATTAACTGTTAATTTTTTTTTCTTCAGATCTAACAATTTTATAAGAAGTCCTCTATATTGGAAGCTTAATTAGAGGTATTTATGAATTTTAATTTGTTTATATTTATTATGTATTGTATTGTTGTTGTTGAAAACTTTGATAGTTAGGTTAAAAAATTTTAGATTTTAGAAATATTGTGATATAATGTATTGTATATTGAGTTTGTTGTTGTTTTAAATTTCAGAAAGCAAAAATAAAAATAATATGTTATGTGATTTTTAATTAAAAAAATAGATTATTTATTTGAAACAAATTAAAAAAACAGATTTATATTATGTTGTGTGGTTTTTAAACAGATTTTTAATTAAATAATATGTTGTGTGATTTTTAGTAAATCAATTATACCTATTATATAGAATAATATATATTATTAAATAATTATTATAATTTAGTAAACATAATATATATTATCTTAATAAAACAGTTTTTTAAATATATAGTGAATATATATTATGAATATAAAAAAACAGTTTAAAATATATAATGAATATATAATGAATATAATAAAACAGTTTTTTAAATATATAATGAATATAATAAAACAGTTTTTTAATATATATTATTTTAGTAAACATAATATATTATTAAATTATAATATATTAATAAAACAGTTTTTTAAATAATAAAACAGTTTTTTAATATATATTATTTAAGTAAACATAATATATTATTAAATTATAATATATTAATAAAACAGTTTTATAATATATATTATTTTAGTAAACATAATATATTATTAAATTAATGAATATAATAAAACAGTTTTTTAAATAATAAAACAGTTTTTAAATATATATTATTTTAGTAAACATAATATATTATTAAATTATAATATATTAATAAAACAGTTTTTTAAATAATAAAACAGTTTTTTAATATATATTATTTTAGTAAACATAATATATTATTAAATTAATGAATATAATAAAACAGTTTTTTAAATAATAAAACAGTTTTTTAATATATATTATTTTAGTAAACATAATATATTATTAAATTATAATATATTAATAAAACAGTTTTTTAAATAATAAAACAGTTTTTTAATATATATTATTTTAGTAAACATAATATATTATTAAATTAATGAATATAATAAAACAGTTTTTTAAATGATAAAACAGTTTTTTAATATATATTATTTTAGTAAACATAATATATTATTAAATTATAATATATTAATAAAACAGTTTTTTAAATAATAAAACAATTTTTTAATATATAATATATTATTAAATTAATGAATATAATAAAACAATTTTTTAAAATCAATTATACATATTAATGAATATATATTATACTTTAAATATGTTATTAATATTAGTATAATATATTATTTTAGTAAATTTATATTATACTTTAAAAATAATGAATATAAAAATAATGAATATATATTATACTTTAAAAATAAAGAATTTATATTATAAATAATGAATATATATTATATTTTAAAAATAATGAATATATATTATTTTAGTGAACATATTTTATTAGGTTGGTGTCAAAATAGAAAAAATAGATTTAAATTACATATTTTATTAAAATGATATATAATGATATATATGGTACAATTGTGCAGTATGAAATATTTTTAATTTATATTTAATATTTTTTTTATAATTAAATTTAATAGTGAAGTGGATCTCATGTCACTAATTAGTGACGTGGGAATCACATGGGAAGAATATTAATTCAATGTGGTTTCCCACGTGAAAACAAGGTCACAACTTTGTTCCATATGATTTTCACGTCACTAATTAGTGACTTGGTTTTCACGTGGGAACATTTCCTCTTTATTTTGTTGTTTGCGACGTGGTTACTATGTCACAACTTTGTGACGTGTTTACCACGTGGGAAAAAGTTCCCACCATTGCATTTCCGACGTGTTTAACCCACGTCGCAAATTTTTTTAGTGAAGTGATTTTTATGTTAGTGATATGAATATCACTTGGGAAATTGCAATATTTCTTTTATATATATATATATATATATATATATATATATATATATATATATATATATATATATATATATATATATATATATATATAGTGATAATTTATTTGAAAAAATTATATATAATTTTAAAAAATTAAAATTAATATATTTTAATTAATATTTGTGACTGCCCCAATATTTTAGTTAAAATATGCCACCGGAAGGATGGCCTCACCTTTAGAATCAATATTAAAATATAAGATTAAAGATTTTTATTTTTTATTTTTATTGATGAGTAAGATAAAAGACTTTTAGAAAGCTGAGCATTCTCATGAAAATGATCAAACAAGACTATAACATCTCGTTATTAAATTATAATTCAATAACATAGGTATTAATGATATAAATAATTAAATAACCATTAAGATAACAAAAAAAAAATCATACCCATAATTCTTGCTTTTGTAGTAATAGATGTTGGAAAGGCAAGTGTCATCAACATCTAAAATCCAAGCATCCTTGCCATCACCAACAATGGATACACCATTAACATAATCCAAAGCTTGCTCCATTATCAACTCCAAGTCCCTTTCATACTGTCCATGGATCAAGTAATCTTCAACATATTGTGAACATTTATTTGGAACTGTTCTCCATGGAAGTTCATTGTTTGTCTCCACTGCCAATCTCCAACTCAAGCAAAAACTTCCATCAATGGTGCTAATAATAGGGTCTTTTGTGCTTGCTTGTGATCTTATAGCACTCGCTTTGCACAACAATGCCAAAAAGAAAAGTAACAAAAACTCTCGCTGTGCCATATTTTTTTATGCTTCTGAAAGGTATAGAAGAAAGAATGTGTTTGCTTGAAAATATTAATGGCTATATATAATATATAGTAGTGCATTTTGTTAATTAACTGTTTTCTTTTTCAAGTAAAATAAAAGGGGTTGATAATTTGACATTGACATGGATATTTTTTTTCTGAAAACAAAGTGCATGGAATAATTAAAGGCTATTAGTGTCGATGATTTTTTTTTTATACCTAAAGAGCTAGCTAGATGGACTTGTATCATGGTCTACAAGGTGTGTTATTATGGTGAAAAAGAAATTGGAATATTAAATTTAGAGAAAGAAATAACTTTAAATATTTTTTTATTTAAATTTAATTGTTGCTATATGGTGCCGGAAGGAGATTCATAAAATTTATTTGTTTATGTTTTTATATGAATATTAAGGACAAAAGATAGAGTGAAAAAAATTTATAAATAAAAAATATATTGAAAATAATATGATTCTTATAAAAAAAATTAAACTTTATTCCACTAAATGTGATCAATTATATGGATTAACTTTTGTTATAATGTTCTATCCAAATTTGGTTGGTTTTGAGCTCTCTTTTTATTTGGAGAAAGACCCAAATATAATTAGTCCATTTGTATCATTTATTTAAGTAAAAAGGATCATTTTAGGATTGAGAGAGATAAAAAGAAAATAAAAATTCAAAAGAGAGAAAAGAAGAGAGAAACATATTTCTGTTTTTCTGCAAACAGTCTCACTAAATCGACGATTCCCGGTTCATTAACCATCAGATCTAGCTCAAATTTTGAGGGAAGGTTCGCAATATATGTATCTAACTTTTGACCATTCAGAATTTTAAAACAAGGTATAAGCCGAGAGATATCTGCTTCGCACTGAAGCTGCAGATTTGGATAATTTTTCAGTTTTTTGATTTTTATTTGTAAGGTAGTTTTCTTTGTGATTTGTGGTTGTTAGGAGTAGTTTGTGAATCACTTTAAGACTCTCTTGTACTCTTAATTGATTGGTATATTATTGTGTCTTAATTTTCCATTAGAATAATACTTCTGTCCAAATCATTAATCTCCTGATCTTTCTTAACAAATTTTCTTATAGTTTGTTTGTATTTTTCTTGCTTTAACTGTTTGACTTCTCTTCATCTAATCTACTCTCTTTACCATAAAATTTACATATCTTATCTCTAAATGTTTAACTCGCCTAAGTCTATTTTTCATCATCTTCTCTACTATAGGTGTTACCCCAACAATCTCTCTAATATTTTCATTTCTAATTCAATCATATTTGGTCTTACCACATATCCAACACAATTTCTTCATTTCTGTTATTACTTTATTCTCGTGTTGATTTTTAACCGCCTAACATTTTATCTCGTACAACAAGAACTTTAACATAATACTCAAAAGTACAATCAAACATAAATGTATAGGCGGTTGCATAAGTGAAAATAAGAGAACCTACATTATACTAGCAATGCTAAACTGGATGTTTGGTTGCCAATATTCTTGTGAAGTAGAAATCTTTTGCAAGTTGAGGTTGAAATCCTTTATTCAAAGGAAGAACTTAAGTGAAGTAGATTCAAGATTCCATGAAGCATATGACCTAACATGTTTGACATCTTCAAGCAATGAAAATAAGGACTCATAAAAACCTTTGCCAATCGTTTAAGACAACGATAGGTAACGGCGTTGATCCGTTTGGTTAAAAGACACTACTATGTAAGTTGTGTTTGTACGTTTCGATTCCAATCAAGTATTGAACTTTTGGAATTGAAATTGTAACTCTATCACCTTTCAAGCAAAGTTGAGACAGTTCAGATTTAGGATGTTACAAAAGGCGTTATATTTTTTCTTTTTGAAGTTGAATATTTTATTAGATTTTATAATAATGATAATATAAATTATATAAATTAACTATAATTGGTTCAAATAGACAGATTCACCGATAGAATTTTGAAAATACATTATATAAATCAATTAATATCGAGTTTCATTGATGTGATTAGATTTTTGTCAAATTTTTAAGACAAAGTACAACCTAAATATTATAGTTTTGTTTGAATTCGGATTTGCTTGATCCAATAAACACATTAAAATAATAAAAATGCTAACTCTATAAAACTAAATGCTACCTAGCCATATATTTATGGAATCTCTAAGAAAATGTTTCAATTAACCATTTATTTCGATTATTATATGGTTATTCATAATGAAGTGGAGTGGATAAATTACATTTTAAATAATAATAATAATAATAATAATAATAATAATAATAATAATAATAATAATAATAATAATAATAATAATAATAATAATAATAATAATAATAATAATAATAATAATAATAATAAAGCTTAAAAATAATGTGTAAGATGTATAAAGCTTAAAAATGGTTTATAATTAATAATGTTCTTTGTCTTTCAATGTTTTGTTTTATATAGATGAATTAAATCAAAATAAAGTTAAAGTGGTCATTTTGTACAAATGAATAGCTATTAAGAATGGTGTGAATATCCATAGCTATTCATTTAAGTGGTCATTATAGCTTCATGGTTTTTTTGTAGGTTATATATGGGTTAAGGTAATACCTTCTTGAATGTCATTTTGTTTATAAAAAAAAATTAAAATAGTTCATTAAAATAAAATTTTAAACTAATATAATTATATAGAGAAAATTGAAGAAATGTTGACATTATATATATATATATATATATATATATATATATATATATATATATATATATATATATATATATATATATATATATACACAGAAATATTTTAAAAATATAAAATTAAATAATTATTGTATATTATTCAAATTTTGATTTTTTTTAAGTTAAATAACTTTTTGTGAGGATAAATTTATTTTATAATGAAAAAATAATTCGTTCAATTATATTTACCAAAATTTAGGGTCGAATGCTCTCAATTATAAATTAACATATATAACATATGTTGAATGCATTTTTATTTTCTTTTTAGAAAACATGTCATTTAAAAAAAAAAAGTAAAAATATATATATGATAAGCATTTTTGTATACAACTAAATAGGTGGGGTTGGTGTCATAGAGCAAAATAACCATATAAGGTGGATATTCAATGTGTCTCCATTTGAATTGGTGCCAAAAGCACTTTACGTTATTCTAGTTTAATGTAAATTTCATATCAATCAAATGTTTATAACAATATGTTACATCAATGCATTTATTTTTAATTGGTTCACTATATTCTCCATACCCTACCACAATCAAAAAGTTTCAACCGCCAAGGTTCTGGTTGTTGAGAAAAATTGAAGTGGAAATAGAGTCATATTCCACCTGGCAACACAATAATAGTGGGCTCAATATCACACTAGCTAGCAATCTCTAGGATGTGGATGGCCATAACCATAAGTCAAGTACTCCAAGTTCACCTAGCTAATAAGATTCATCCATTTTATAGTAATTTAAGAAAAAATGATGTGGAGAATTTTGGGAAAATTGCACTTGCAACTTCTGTGTCTACATTCATCTACTTTGTAAATATATATGTTGACTTCCTTCCAATTCCACACATATTTATATTTGAGGGGATGCATCAAAATAAAATTTGAGGTGATGTTGTTGGAAGAGTGTGGAGAAAGGCAAAAGCAATGACAAAGTAATGCAATAAGAGGTCATGGTATAATATTTATATTCAGATTTAATGATATTGGAAAATAAAAGTTTATTATCAATAGAAAAACATGTCTTTTTTTTTTTTTTTGTTACTATCTTTATCCGCTCTCATTTCTCTATTAATCTGAATCGGAGTTTGGATATCATTTGGTTAATTTTTAATATATGAATCTAATATTATAATCTGTTATCATTTTCCTATCAAATGGCTCGGATATTATTTGTTGGACTTTTAACACGAGAGATTCTTTCTCAATTTCCTATTAAATTGAATCATGACTCGCATACCATTTATTAGAAGTCATGGGAGCATCGAGAGTAACAACGGGTCAATGAGCCAAGACCACGAGAGTGTGGGAGACGTCACATCTACATCCAAAACATGAAAGTATTAAGTATAGAGGTCATCTTTCGTATATATTCATCATTTAGTTCATTCATAGTTGATATGAAACTAATCGCTCACACTAGAACCTAGAGATGTCTGTCAATATTTATTGGTGTAAACTCTAGAGATCAATAATTTTATTAGAACTTGTTACTTGTATCGAATTATCTATTAATAATAAAATTATTTTTTTATTATGTTTGTTTTTTTCAAGTAATAGAGTCCTTAGAATAGCTAGTATATTTGATGAAACATTAAATATGACTTAATCGTGAGACTTCATTAAACATACGGATATTATTCTTATAGTATTTATAGTAAAAAAAATTGTGAAGTGAGATAGCATTAAAGCATAAAGACTATTAGAATAAAGAGTTATCAAACTTTCACATAGGTAAACATATTATGAGTAATATTTATATTGGATTGACCCGCCATGATAATACTACATAAAATGTTATAAGTCATTCTCAGGCTAATAGTGGTATATATCACCCTTCAAAAACATCTGGTTTTGGTCCTCATGTGAAGTTATGGCCATAAAGAATTAGTCGAGGACTGATACATATAAATAATGAAACAATTGACAACACTCGTAAGATAAGCCTTTATAAGTCTTGTTGTTCAAGGCTTGTAGTTCATATGATATCAACTTATATGTTGATTCAAGTGATGGTGCTTGAAGATTGATCAAACGATGGTGCTTGACATATTGTTGATCAAGTGATGGTTGAAATGCCTCAGACTGCCTTCAAGATTACTGACTGACCCCACAAACCAACATGGGTCTTTTCAGTATGATTTGTCCTAACTCACATTTTTTGAAAAACTTCCCAGAAGGTCACTCATCCAAATATTACTCCAAGTCAAACACACTTAGCTATAGAGTTCTTTTTTGTTAGGCTACCAAAAAGAAGATGCATCTTGTTGGTATAAATAGTACCAATCAATCTTTATA